TTATTTTCGTTTAAATACCTGAACCCATTTGAAAATAACCCCAGCTTTTGTTTCCCGCGTCGAACTCCCATCATACCAAAACCCTGTTCTCTCCCTCCTCTTCTTTTCTCCTCAAAAAAAAACGGCGCTGCACGCGAACCGCATTCATTAAATTTATTTTATATTTTTCAATTTTTATTCATTTTTTCCCTCCTTATTTAAACCCCACCACTCCCTCTCTCCTTCGCTATCACAACTCATCTCCTCTCTCTCTCTCTTCTCCTCTCTCTTCCTTCTCCCTCCCTCTCCTCTCTCTCTCTCTCTCTCGAGTCTGCTCCAACCCGCCACCGCTGCCCTTTTCGCTGCTCCTTGGCTCCGACCGCCGTTCTGCCTAGCACCGGTCGCCCCGCTCTCGGCCCACCCTGCAGGTCCAGCGTCGCAGCCCGTCAGCCTGCGACCACCAACCTCCGCCCTGCACTCTTCCTCCTCCGGGTTCGGCCGTTCACCACGGAGCTCGCAGCCCTCGCCGCCGCTTCACCCTCGCCGCTGCTCACCTCTGCCGCCTCTCCCCATTGGCCAGCACGCCTCTCCCCGCGGCCCAGACCTCCACCGCCAGCAACCCGCCTCCAGCCCTAGCTCCGCGCCACCTCCTCCAGCCGCCTCTGGCCGCCGTTCTGCCTCTGATCCGCCGCCTCCAGCTACCACCAGCCACCCCCTCGTCCTCCTCCCCCTCTCTCGAGCTCTCCCCGTTATCCTCCCCTCCTCCGACGAAGACCAGCGAGCTCCGCCTCCCCTAAGCGCTCTGTCGAGCTGCCACCAGCGCCGCCCAGCCAGCAACCGTCCCGCTGCTCGTCTACAGTACCGCGCCAGCCCGACAGCAGCATTCCACGTCCAGCAACTCCGCCCCGTCAGCCGCAGACCCGCCGTCGAAGTCGAATCGTTCGACAAAAACCCCGAGGCAAGATCCCTATTCTTGCTCAGTATAATTTTAGATTGAGCACAAATTTATTATGCATACGAACTCGTTACCCGAATAATTATTCGTTACAAATATAGAACTGTCGTGAACATATTGGACTGAGAACTATAACGTATAGAACTGTCATGAACAAAACGGTCTGTGGACAATAACGTATGACCATTCACATTGTAATACATATACGGTGGTGACCTGTACGGATTTATTTGACGAATGATATTAAAAATAATTTTGTGATAATAGATACTGTAAAGATAAAATAAAATAAAATTATTTTAGAATATTTTATAATTTTAAAGAATTTATTTGACAAAATAATCAATTTAAAATAATTACTATTTTGGTGAAAAATCATTTTAGAGTAATTATAATAAGTTAATAGAATTTATTTGACAAAAGAATTATTTTAGAATAATTATAAATAATTTAAAAGAATTTATTTTAAGAATAAGTGTCAATTTAGAATAATTTCAATAATTTAAGAAAGTTTTATAAAAGGAATTATTTTAGGATATTTATAAATATTTTTAAAGGATTTGTTTTAGAAAAAGGATTATTATGAATTTTACATGATTTATGTTCTTAATTTTAATTATGTGATATGCTATGATCTTGTTGTATATGATTAGTCGCATTTATTACTCTTTGTTATGTTTGAGAACCGTTAGAAAATCATGACTAGTGTGGCCTAGTGTGTTCTGTTTAAGACTTAGAAACATGTGTATATGTTAGCTTAGAAAAACAAGAGAGTTGGGATGGGGAAGTTGATGTTCATGTGATCGGATAAGGCTGTTGATGTATCTTTCAGGCTCGCTCCCGTGGTTGGTGTCGCCACCGGGGTTGGTTTGTAGGGCTAAAGTGAAGTGTGTACATCACTTTAGTCAGTGAAATCGTTTCGTCACTCGGGTTCTGTTTGAAGTTCGAACCAGGCAGAAAACGGTTTACGTGTAGTCCTCTAGGCCGCATGTGTAGCGGGATTGGATACACGTAGGGGATTTGTGAACAGTCAATTATCCGGTGATATGAACGTTGGCTCTGTGTGAGATGTGACCAGTGACCCGTTATAGAATGACTTGTTACCAGTGGATCGGTGTCACCACTGTGGGTGGGTTGTTGAGTCAAGGTGAATCAGTATCGTCATTTTGGTTAGAATTTATGGATTCTGGTGAGACGTAGATCAGTTGTATTTCTTTCCATACATAGATCGGGGTTAATATTTAATTATCTACAATTTGAGACATATGGTATATACATGAGGGTTTCCTTGTTTGGATTATTTCGCTCGATGTACTACGTCTCGAGTTGTAGATTTTTAAATGATCTCGTTACTTGGATGATTAGTCTGATCATTAGCTACATGACCTCGTTACCCGATCGATTTTGGATTCTTCTGATTATTATATTCTAGTGGTGGATTTCATTTAGATTATTACTATTGTTATTATTATTGTTCTTGCATTGGTCGTACGACCGTTCTTTTCTCCCTTTTGGGATCTTGCCGTGTGCCTTGCACCCTGACGTACACCTGTTTCCTCTGGTGTACGTCAGATTTAGATGATGGACAGCTTCAGTTCGGAGTCGTACAGGAGCCAGATGATTCCCCACAGGAGTGCTCTATAGACCGAGCAGAAGAAGCCGAAGCTTAGTTATTGGTCCTCCATTTACTTATGTAGTACTTTATCCTTTAGTCTTCCGACGGGCTTAGTTAATTTGCAGTACTACCTTCTTATTTTGTCAGACTATGTATCTTCCTATTCTAGTTGAACTGTTTTGTAATAAGGGCGTGTTTGACCCAAACTTTGTGTCTCGGATGATATTTCAGTTGTGATATGTATATTATTTTGAATTGTTTATTATATTCTCATTACTGTGATCGGGGACCTGTGCCTTCGTTTGTATTTCTTGACGCTTAGCGTATTAGATTGAGAAGACAGGACTGTTTTGTAATAAGGGCGTGTTTGACCCAAACTTTGTGTCTCGGATGATATTTCAGTTGTGATATGTATATTATTTTGTTCTGAGTTGTTTATTATATTCTCGCTACTGTGATCGGGGACCTGTGCCTTTGTTTTTATTCCAGACGCTTAGCGTATTAGGTTGAGAAGAAAAGAAAAAAAAATGATAGTGTATATTTCTTCTCAATCTAATACGTCGCGGGCTTGTTCGCGTTCCGATTCCCGGTATTTTGGGAAGCGGGGCGTGACAGATACTGTAGCATTCCCAGAAAATTCAAAACAGGAGATGTTAAAAAGGCGGGATTACTGTAGAAAAAAACCGTGCTTTGCACGGACAGCAGACTAGTATGTTGTATCATAAAACCGCTGAGCGTAAATCTCACTCTAAAAAGTGACACGTGTCTCGATCAACTAGATATCAATCCAACCCGAGTCTTATAAAGGCTAGCTCAAAAGGTGTCTTTACTCATCCTCGTTCAAAAGGCCGACTTGAAATACATCGTCACTCGAGCCGTCTCAGATAGTTGAGGCATCCTTACTTAGCCAGCCGAGTTGAGAGGCGTCTTCGTTCGACCTCTCTCGAAGGACCGAGATGAAAGGTGTTTCTTCTCGAACTTAGCAACAACAGCCAGTCACTATTACATTAAATGCATGGTCAAAAACATCATTATCTCTCTTGGAGTCATAATGACTCATCGGATCATGTCAGCGCCGCGGCCCCTATATCGCTGTCATAATAAATACAAGAGTGACTCGGACCACCTGCTACCTACATCTATAAACTATCAGCTGACTAAACTGATTGCCTGGACTCTGCGAAAGTTATGCAGATGTGCTTCTAAATGTAGTATAAATAGACATGTTGCCTACATCATGAAGGTACGCGAAATTACGCACATTTACGAGAAATAAATTAATTTTCTCTCTTTCAGATCACAACTAACCTGATCATCGAATGTGCATGACTCTCTTCCGCTCAGCAGTCAACCATTTAAAAGGAGATTAATGGACCATAAGTTCTTTGAAATCCACCCTAAATCCCGCTACTTAATTTCTGACATTAACAATATAATTAGTAAATCTACATTTCTCGTGCTCATAGACAAACTTTAGGATCATCCACGTGATTATAATATATATACATGAAGGAACCTGAATATAACAAATTTATTTTTCCGCTATTCCTAAACTATCTACTCAGACAAAATTCTTTTTTTTATTTTGAGGGCTTCCTCGTTTATGTTTTCTATCTATTCACGGATGGGTTCATTGAGTGTGTGGGGGGAGGGGGGGGGATCTTTTCAATTCTGCATGCACACATGATATTGACCATCAACTATAACCCAAAAGAACCAAATTATTAGCAAATCTTATTATATTCCGTATGTTCATCATTCACATGCATTCACTAATTAACCACCAACTTACTGATTAACACTAATTTAAAGAAATTTGGAGTTATGCATAATTTTTTTAAAAACTAAGCTTTAGACTAAGCCATTTCCTATCCTACACATCTGCACTATGATTGCATTCACTATTTTTTTATTGCAGGTGCTTGTTATATTTATGATATATCGAACCATGATATGAACCATAGGCATCACCATCATCAGACATAATTATTAGTAACAATTACCATAAACAAGTGCTGAACATGCCCTTTAATGAGTTAAATTGTCAAAAATCACCCTGTTATTTTTGAAACTATCAAGGAAAAAAAAAATCATATGATACTTTTTGCCTATATCATGAAAATTGACCATATAAAAGATGTTATTATTGGGAATAATAACATAAATCATTGATTTTTATTACCGCCGATAAATATGTTATCTAATTCAAATATCTTTCAAATCGAAAAAAAAAATTCTAACCCAAAAATTCCAATTATGCTTTTGAATGGAGAAAGATTTCTCTTTTACACCCGCAGCACAATGCGGCGAATGAATTATTAGTAACGGTTACCAAAAACAAGTGCTAAACAAACCATCCAATCTCCGAATCCAACGGTCCAGATCTATCTACCTCCATCCAGCGGCTGCCATCTCTTCTTTACGGCTCTAATCATCATCCTAACTTCGAAGCGAGCAAAATGAAATGATTCCTCCCTCTTCGTCCCTGTTCTCCGATCCCAGCTCTCACGGGATCAACAGAAACCAACTCCTCTTTCGATCTCACGACCAAAACCCTGACCCTAGCTTTCCCTTTCATCAAATTAAGAAAAATCACGGATCGAAAACCCTCGATAGATCTCGACCAGAGCGCAATCGATCAATCCCCCGTGATCTCTTGAGAATTAGGGCTGCATTCTTCGCGAACTTGGGGAAATCTGAGGGGAATTAGGATTTTTGTTCCCTTCGCATTAGGATGCGAGTTTCGAAGCGGAATTTGGTCGCCGATAACTTATGTTTCGGCGAATGAGATGCTTCATCGGATTAGATCCCGAGAGCGAGGTGCCTAAGAGATTGACGGGCGCTAGGGCTTCGACGAGGAGGAGGAGGATCGAATTTAAGCAGCCGGATATGTTGGAGACCGTGCATGAGATCGCTATCTATATTCATCGGTTTCATAATCTGGATCTCTTTCAGCAAGGGTAATGATGGTTGTTGAAAGGAAATGCGATCTTTTTTTCTGTTTAATTTTGGGTTTTCTAATGTTAAAATTTGTTTTTTGGCGGATTTGGCAGATGGTATCAGATAAAGATAAGTATGAGATGGGAGGATAGCAGCAGAGAGACTCGAGGAACTCCTGCTCGAGTTGTTCAATATGAAGGTAATTATTCTTTGCGTTTGCGCCTGCTTAAAACTGAATTACTTGAAAATTGAAGTGAAATATGCTTTTTTGAGCTCTCTTATGTGTTGTACTATGATGATATATGCTTGCTTGGAGATTGACTATTTGGAAGTTGATTTTTGTAATTTTAGTATACATATGTTTTCACCATTTTCTTTGGGATTCATATCATCTAGATACGTTTATGTTTTACGCTCACATAGTCAAGCCTACATGATTTGAATCCGAAAGAACATGTTGAAAATTAGAGAGAATCAATCGAGATGGTTTGATCACGTACAACATAGGCCACTGAAGACACCAATGGCAATTAGGAGAAGTGATAATATTATACTTTATGGGGGCAAAGAGGGCTACACGTAGACATAAAAGAATTTGGTTGGAAGCAGTTAAGAAGGATATTCTAATAACTAACTTGATTTTTTTGGTGGTGGGGGGATGACCCATAATTGAAATGAATAGAAGAACAAAATTCATATACCCGACCCTAAAAAGTTGTGATAATGCCTTTGTTATTGTTGTATTTTTTACCCGCGGGGGCGCGGGGGGGGGGGGATTGGACCATAATTGAAATGAATGGAAGAACAAAATTCATGTAGCCGACCCTAAAAAGTTGTGATAATGGTTTTGTTATTGTTGTATTATTTTTTTCAACGTGTCGATGACTACAACTTATCATGCTTGTTTACTGATTATGTTTGACTTTTCTAGGCCTGGTCGCATCCAAGCTATCAATTTTTTTTAGTTTAAGAACTTTAATGCTTGTTCATTCTTGTCTTTTCATCTCATTTATTATTTTACCTTTTATTGCACACATATGTTCTCAATTGAATTGGGATAAGTAGGTGTACCATAAACTTTGAAGTATGTTTGTTAGCTGAAAGAAGTGTATAGGGCATTGCCCTCTATTTACATGTTCTTTACATTTTGAGTTTTTCTCTTGGTATTTGAATTTCACCTAATAGGTAATGACATGCTAGGTGGATTGTGCAGCTCCTGATTTAGCTTCAGAAGACGTTTGTGGTGTTTGGAGGATAGATGATGTTGAGCAAAGTTTCTCGACGCAACCATTCAGAATCAAATATGCTAGGCAGGATGTCCTTTTGTCAGTTATGGTCTCTTTCAACTTAAATCTTGGGAAAGATGAGGTTAGTACTTAAATGTTGCAAGTTATATATTGGACAAGTTATTTCTGCTACAAGTATCAGTTATTCTTTACCTGTTTTGCTTTTTTTGGGGACTCGTGCCTATCTATTAACTTTCTCATAATTACAATTTCCAGATGCCATCGACATCTGCAGTAATACTAAAATTTGAGCTTATGTATGCTCCGATATTGGAAAATGGGTGAGTGATCCTAATATTACCTGCTCTTACTTTATGTACATTTTTATTTGTCTTGATCTTCTAAGCATGATCGATGTATCATCAAAACTATGAATTTGATATAACATCTTAATTCTTTCTGTTCCTGTCACAGAGTTGAAATGCAAGCTTCTTTTGATGCATATACTGCTGCAGTTCATGAGTTCCGTATTCCACCCAAAGCACTTTTGGGTTTGCATTCATATTGTCCTGTCCATTTTGATGTTTTCCATGCGGTTCTTGTTGATTTAAGTATACACATTTCCCTTCTGAAATCCGGTACCTCCACACCTCGACAGAAGGTAGCCAGGTTTGTGACAGGTTTAGTTTCTAAGGTGGATGTCTATTTGTAAGAAATGTTTATGTATACTTATCATTTCATTTACACACTTGTCAAAATTTTCAGCAAGTCTGCCATTGTGGATAGTGTTGCTAGAGACCATTATGAAGGACCCGATGAAGTAAGCTTGCTCTGAAATATTCTAGTTCTAAGATATGCTTGTATTTTCTTGTATAATTGTATTAATAATATATGTCACTACAGTACTAGTTCTGCTGTATTGCCTCTAGAAAGTAAGGGAATGGGCCCACTGGGATTATTTGTCATTTAATCCATTTCCTGTCAATTTGGGGTTGACTATGATTTCAACTCCAACTCCATGGGAAGAGACTCCACCAATGATTCAAGAAAGTTTTAATATAATGAACTGTGAATTGAGTTTATCTGAATAATTGTACAAACTGTAAACTTATTTAATGGCATCTCCATCATTGCTAGGTGGAAAGATCAAGGGAAGTGAAATCGATGTAAATATACAAAAGTGATAAACATGTAAACTTGATCAAGAGAAGAGAGACACCTTGAGAATCTATATTATTTGGGAGAGGAAGCATGGTTCAAGGAGAATATAAATAGGAAATCAAGGAGAAGGGTTATTACATGTGCTGAAATTGGTTTTACATTTGAAGAGTTACTCCCTAACATTTTAACCGCGAATCAAGTATTTGCTGCTCTTTGATTTTGCTTGGCGCTCTAACAGTTAAATGCAGCTGATCTTCAGCCTATCCAAATTTATCCTTGAATATTTTAACTGCTACCCAACTAATGCAGTTTGTTGGATTGTGTCTACACCCCTGCTTATAAGAGGTCGGAAAAATGATCCAACCTGTAACTGACTGCTTTCTTACGAATATCTATATTCGTTAGATCGCTGTCATAATGAATGGTGTAAATAAAAAATAAAAAATAAAAAAATTAGAGCATCCTATCAAGGGGCTTTTAAGTGACTGCCTAGGCACCTACATAGCTGCTTGTCGATTTGTCCTGCTTAATGTGACATCTCCTTTATTCCTTTTTAACATAAAGCCTCATTAATTCCAGTTACATATGGATATTGTAGAAAGATCAATCTGAAGAGCTTTAACTACTCTGTATTTTTGTTCACATGTTGATGTGTGCATATCAGAAATTCAAGTAAATGTTCATATTCTACACTCAGGTGTTATCTCAAGGGATAGGCTCAAAAGCAATTGAGCTTATCAAGGCATTGTTAATATCACGAGAACTACTTCTTGAGGAGCTTGAAAAGATCAGCCGAGCAATTGGTCGAACAATTGATGATTTAGTTGCTGCAGACTTAGATCTCGGTAGATTTGAGTTTGTTGGCTCTTCGAAACCAGATCTGTCTGCAGCTGGTAGGGACTTTTCTGGGAAGAAGGGTGTAGGCCGAGTAGCTGGGATGTTAGAGAATATTCTTGAGGTACGTCTTTTTTTCTTTCTATTTTTCCTTCTCGATATATGATTTGTATCGTTTCATAATTGATCAAGTTACCTTCTTTTGCCTGTGAAGAAATCGAATGGCATAATTGAAGTTGGAAATGACGTCATGCTATACTCACTATCCAAGGAAGAGCTCTTGGATGTATTTTTTTCTGTGGGCAACCAACTTTCATTCATTTGGAATGTCTTTCTGAAGTTTCATAGGTGTGATAACATCTCTCTCTCTCTCTCTCTCTCTCTCTCTCTCTCTCTCTCTCTCTCTTTCAATCTCCCATTTTTATTTCTCCAAATCATTATATCTATGTTATTTCTACAATTCTTCTAAATTACTAGGAGACTGTGTTCTTAGAATTTTTAATTTCTTTACTGAACTTGCTCCTATTAATATATTATACAGTTAATAGATGATGAGTCAACAATACCCTTACTTTTATGCCTAAACCTGTGATTAAAACACCATGGACAGCTCCATTCTTAAAGGTCTGTTGTGTGTATGATTCAGATTTGTTTGGATTGTGATCAAGTTCTTGCAATATCATATTCAGCTCAATACTGGTCTGTGGAAGTCTATATATATCTCATATGTGAGCCAATACCAACCTATATTTGTCATTATTAGCCAATATCTGTCATAGTTGCATGAAATAACTTATATATATAATACGAACACAAAACACTCTTATATCCTTCATTGGAAAGCATGGAGAATTTTCATGGCATCACAACATGCTTCATACTTTTTAACTTTTCTACGCTAGGCTTCTGTCACCTCATCCAACCGTAAAGTGATTCAACTTTCATAAGAGTAAACTAACATCAGTGTCTAATTGTAGTTTGGAGCAAATTTTACGAACCAGTTTTTTTTTACATCGTAGGACTAACCGAATGAAGATCCTTGAATATCTATATGATGCCTGGGCCATAGACAGAAAGGCAGAGTGGTCAATATGGATGGTTTATTCGAAGATTGATATTCCTCATCGTTATTTGAGAAGTGCAGCTGATGACTCCTCTCACCGTAACACCCTTGGAAAAGTTGTTACACGGAAGTCCAATGATGAAGTAATTTCTTATGAGCCTGTAATTTCTTACCAGTTCATTATCACTGAAACCAGTTTTCTGCTCGACTTGATGCTGGAACGACATTTTGTATGAACTACAACTTCAATGAGCAAGTTTTAACTGCTTGTTTTTTGTGCACAGCAAGCACTAATTTCTTCTACACGCGCTGAACTACACAGAAAAAGTATTGCTCAAATGAAAGTGAGATTTAATGCCGTTGATTCATTTTTTTTTGTGAGATTTGCTGTTTCCAGCAGGTCTGAGAAACTGGGTTTTTCATTTTTGCAGATCAATACCCGGTCCATACAAGACATGCATATTTTTGGGGACCCGTCTCATGTTCCTATTGTTCTTATAGAGCAGCATGTCATGAATGTTCCCTTGCATGGTTCTGCAAAAAATTTATCATTTAGTTCTTTGGGTCAGAATGATTCAGCTTTTGTGTCCAAAGGCCGTGGAGATAGGGTTGTACAAATTTCTAAAAAGAATGGTCGTCTGTTAAAGGTTGCTGTCTTTGTGCATGGATTTCAGGTATACCCTCTTGCTAAAATACCATCAACCACCATATGTGCATTTTTCTACTGCAGATGCCTGTATTGCGTATGCTGCGTTATCTCTGTAAATTTGGGTTTCGACTACAATTTTTTTTCCCTTCATCCTTAAATAAGAAAAGAACAGTTGCAAGCGGCAAGTAAACATAGCCTGTTAAGGGGTATAACATAGCTTGTACCACACTGATGTGAGAAGACTATGCATCCGAGTCTCTGATTGATTGTCAATTAGCTTTGGACTCTTGTTATCCATATATGATGACTGCATGCCCTATGTTTTTGATTCTCAATAGGGAAAGTCAATAGGGAAACCTTTCTGCTTTACTTGTATTCGTCTTCAGTTTCTTTTCTAAAATTATGATTAGGAATCCATCTAATGCTTATATGTGTATTCATTTTTTTAGCTAAATGTAGCTTAACTCTTTATGCTTGAATCTGCAATGTGATAGGGACATCATTTGGATTTACGACTTGTACGAAATCAGTGGCTTTTGTTAGATCCTGGTGCAGAATGTCTCATGTCAGAGGCTAATGAAGATAAGACATCTGGAGATTTTAGGGAAATGGGACGCAGATTGGCAGAAGAGGTGACTACTTTCATTAGAAAGAAAATGGACAAACTGTCAAAGTATGGAGGTTGCAGAGACATAAAGCTTAGCTTTGTTGGACATTCCATTGGAAATGTCATTATAAGGAGTGCTTTAGCAGGTTATCTTCTCTCAACCTTTTACTGTCTTTGTAAAATATTATTTCGATGGTACCCTAAAATTTGTGCAACTTGGCAGACAGCTTGATGGGTCCTTTTCTGAAGCACCTTTATACGTACATGTCTTTGTCGGGGCCACATTTGGGGTATTGGTATAGTTCAAATTCTCTGTTCAATTCGGGATTATGGCTCCTCAAAAAACTCAAGGGACCTCAGGTCATTCATCAACTCACTTTCAGTGATGATCCAGATTTGCAGAATACCTTCTTTTACAAGCTTTGTAAGGTAACTCGATGAGCTGTTAAGAGCAAGGTTATAACCTAGGGCTATACACTTCTTCAATTTTTATTTTTGGATGAATTACTTTCATCTAGTAGTGAACAAATTTATAATTTAGAAGGATAATAATCTGAACATGCTCATACTAGTTACTGAAAGTATAGTTTGGAAGTCATAATAGACAGCTTTACAATTATTCTTAATCCTGTCAACGGTTTATTTGAGCCATTAATATTTAGAAAACTTTTATTTATTGAAATGATGTTGCCCTACCTCTTGTAAAATCAGTATTTCCATTCTATTTCCATAAATTCCCAACAACAGGTTTGCGCTCTTATTATGCCCACGGTCTAACAACCTTCTTACAACAAATTGTTAAACATTCTTCACATGGATTATAATGTTGGAGTCTGCTATTGATAGCTATGGTCGGCTTGTTAAAAATGTGTATTGCTTTTTCCTTACTTTGTTTGTTTGTTCTTTTCCTCTTTTGCCTTTTCTGTGGGGGCTGGGGGTTTATTTTGCGGTTTGGGGGTTGGGCTGGGGTGGGGGGGTAATGATACATGAAAATTATGTCTTTTATTGTATTATACAACAACTGGAGCTATAGCTAAAGAGATAAATTTATCATGCATATGCTACACTGCCACCTGATACGATCACACACACAAACAGGGGGACTGGGGATCATTTTTCTTTCTTTTTTCACTTTTGTTTCGTGTAAGGAGATGTTGCCGTGAAGGCTTTTGGCCAGTTATAAGTGCTAGTTTTCCTTCATCCAGCAAATTCATACTCTTTTCATGTATTAAAATAATTTTCACATCTTTGCGATATCTGATGCAAACTTAATCTCAGTTGGAAACTCCTTTCATGCATGGAAATTACTCTTTTACTTTTTTTTTATCTTCTTTCAGCAGAAGACATTGGAGAATTTCAAGAACATTATTCTATTATCTTCACCTCAGGTAGTGTTTTCTTCTGTTGGCAATGTATTTTTGTAACTAAAATATCCTTGAACTTTCTAACTGCTTCCGGAGCCCTGCAGGCCGTAACCTCTTTCAATAGCCTTTATTTTTGTGTCCCCTCCTCTGAGGGAATGCTATTCCAGTTACCTTCGTAACTAAATAAAAAGATATTAATTCTATATGGACGGAGGAGTGTGTTATAAGTGTTGTATATTTTAGTTTAACATATTCTGAACTCGTGCAACAATGAAAAGAGTACTATGTAGGGTTGAGCATGGTCTCTTATTAATATGATTTCATTTATTTGTTTAATGTTAGCACTGCAGTAGTTTCCAGTAGTGCCAATTAATGATGATTCAGACTTTAGTACGATGTGAATATAATTTATTCTATAAAGAGCTCCTATTAGACGTTTTATGAAATCTTATTTGCTACTTGACTCCACATGTCCAAGCTTTTAGTTGCAAAAACTTTTGAGACTATTTATTGATCTGTTATCTTGCAGTAACAAACTATTATCCCGTGATTACCAATTGCTTATCTAAACCCTAAAAAGCTTCTATTTCTGATCCTGTTCTTATTATTAGACTATTAGTTTCACGTAGAAGAGTTCCTCTTGTTACCTGTCGCCTATTTTATTTTGTTCAAAGATTCGTGAACCTTAAAACGAACATAAGATTTCATCCTGCGGGAATGGCCTATCTTATGATTTGATAGTTTAGCATATCAATGTTATTTGCAATGCCTGTGAAGCCCACGATTTTGTATTTTGAAATCTTCACTCCAATATTCTTCAGTATGCAAGCATGTGCTCTCTCTACACTAACCTAGTACACTTCTTGCATATATGCTATCATTTTCTACACACAAAGTGCATATTCTCTGCTGCATACACACATAACATAAATATGCACATATACAACCAATTCTTCAGAGAATTACAAAGGGGGACGCTGATTCTTTTTTCCTTTCCTAATAATTTTGCTTTTTAACTTTTTCATTTTCTAACATATTTGTCTTGTTCTAAAGCATTTATCCCTTGTTGATATTTTCCAGGACGGGTATGTTCCTTATCACTCAGCTAGAATTGAGCTATGTCAAGCATCAGCCAGCGATCAATCAAAGAAGGCACAGGTGTTCCTTGAAATGCTCAACAACTGCCTTGATCAGATTCGAGCTCCCTCATCTGAACAGAGAATATTCATGCGCTGTGACGTGAACTTCGACCAATCTGCTCAGGGTAGGAACTTGAACACAATAATCGGCCGAGCAGCCCACATCGAGTTCTTGGAGACCGACATCTTTGCAAGGTTCCTAATGTGGTCTTTCCCTGAATTATTTCGCTAACAGATATAGAAGAGTCAGTCTTACTATCTAGCATCAATATAGAAGAGTTATCTATGGACAATGTTAGAAAATGTTGTCTACTACTGCAAACAATAGGGCCCTATATATTTATGTAGAAAAGGAATGTATAATAGCCTGCAGTGTGATGTAATTATGTTGTTGTATGAATGTTGTGATACTCGTCAGCATTCATTTTTTTTTTTTAATGCCTCGCTGTGTTTAGCATAGGAAGAGGTAGGATACTGGATTGGGGAAACTCAATGTACCCTACATGTTTCTTGTTTTCTTAGGAGTCAGCTGATGCTGAAATAAAAAGATTTTTTTTCTTCATTTGTCGTATTTGAGCCTTATCAGCACGTTCATGCTGAAAATCAACAGCTTTGTGATTTTATTATTATGATTCACGATTATGTGCTAAAGCCGTTATCCTTTTATAATGATTAGGATCGGCGTCTTCATTAGGAAATTGCGAATGCCACGTCCAATGATGAAAATTATAATGCGCACACGAGTTTCTTACATCTTTTGTAGTCTGCATATTATTATTTTTTTCAACGAAGGTAATATTCTGCGAGCTCAGATAAAGTTCTTATACGGGCGAACGCCATCGACCAAAGTGATGCTAGATTCCTTCTCGACTTGTGATTAGATGGTTATTTTGTAATAATTTTCCAACAAAATCTAAATCTATGTCTATATGGTTTTTTTGACTTCATGATATTCTTAGAGTATTTTTTAATAATCTATTTTTAGCTGTCGCTCAACGGGAAAGAAGTGCTGTCCATTCCCTGTGAAGGTCAACGCTTCTGCGCTCACTTGCACACAACTACTATAATTGATAATAGAGTGTTTTCTTTTTAAGCATATTTCTCCTCTAAAGTTCAATTTGTGATTATTAATTAGGTTGGTTTAGATTCGGCAAGTACACTCTTGAGCTATAATTAAATGTGCATACGGTGGCAATTGGAGAAAACCTCCAAAAGAGCAGACATAGAGCTGCCATTTGCAGGACACAGGCTGTCAAGGACAAAATACCCGTACCCCCGTTGAGTGAAAACCACTGGTCATAGACCACATATATCCATGAATGAACAAAAAAAAAATTCCTTTTTTCAATTGCCCTCCAAAAAAAATAAAGAAAAATTTTAAATGCTTGCTTAAATTTTGGAAAATTTGCATGAATGAAATCCAGGAATTTCTCAAATGCCTCCATCAATACTCAAATAAATCTGGAGAACACCCCTCCTATTCATGTCCAGCGGTGAAATATGCAACACCTTTGGAAACTATGTAGCTCTGCCACTGTTCACATCTATTTGCACACGGAGAATTTTCACATCTATTTGTCGAGAGAAATATGCAACACCACTGGAAACTATGTAGCTCCGCCACTGTTACACATCTATATGCTGAGAACTTCCTTCAGTGATGTATACTCCCTTTGAAATCCCAATAAGCACACACCTGCATCATATAATTCATCTTCACAATGTGGTCTCCAATCGTAGTATTAACACATATGTGACACCGCTTAGACATAAAAATTACACGAATTCGATCCTTCGACAAGAATCAGTGATATTGGATTTAATACTGTTTCCTAACAACAATGAGATCCTCAAGCTATGGTCACGCTCCGAGTCAATTTTGATTCACATTCTTCAATACTTCCTTATTAGCGACTAATATACATCTAAATACTTAGCAAATCACATACAAATTCATTTAACGACAGAGCAAAACATGGCCAAATCTCAATATGATAAGCAGCTGGAAACGTACACGCCTTGCAAATAACCACTCATTCTGAAGTCAGTTTGATTTGAAATTCAAACAAATCAACTAGAAGAAGAGAGGACTACCACAATCAACTAGATTAATAGAGAACCCAACACCAGTGCAAGCAAAACATCATTTTTACATCAAAAACACCGAAAAGAAATCATTCCACCCGGCACCAAACATAAGAATTCAACCCAACCCTTTTCTACAATTTGTAACTAATCATACTAAATACAAGACCCACCCCCTACCCAACAAAAAAAAAAAATTACTTTCATTCTGCATCACAACAAGCTCCATTTCACCATCAACAACAATTTCAACCATCAATTTCTCATTCTTGATTGTTATTCAAGCAACCAAGACCCTCGGTCCTGCCCCTCACAATCCTATGAAAAACCTCCCTCACTTGCATTTCTAACGACTCCAAACCCTCCTTCAGAGCTTCACAAACCTCCTTCAACTCCTTAACTTGCTCCCTCACCTCCCTCTCCTTATCCTCTCCCATCGGCGACTGGACATCATCCGTCAGCTCGTTCAATTTCCTCATACACTTCTCGACACAACTCATCTCCCTCAACAGCCCACTCGCTTTCCTTCGATCCCTCTTCCTCGATTCCTCTAGGATCCTCTCATGCATAGAGCTAATCGAAACAGCCCACGGGAAACTTCTGGGCATGGAGAAATGAGCATTCAGCCCTCGATCCTGGCAAGGGATCGCGGCCACAAGAGCCCACATTACGAACAAAAGCACCGAACTCATCGTGTAGATCGGCACCGTCAATCTAGGTAGCCACAATCTCGTTGCTCCTCGGAGCGCTGAGGTTCGCGCCAATGGCTTGCAGCTGCCGGGCTGCTGACCAGGAGCGAGACACGCTCCAAGACAGCGATCGGAAGTGGGGCCGGCTCCGGTCCTTGCTCTGGCAGAACGAACGGTTCCGGCAGCTGACAACCGAACCGGATTCCTTTTCGTCGAGCATCAAGATCGTGAGGTCGGTTAAAGCCTTCTTGGCTCGACGGATTTGGCCCTCGCCGATAAATTTGGCGCCCAAAGCTGTTACGACGATCTCCAAATGATTCCTCCATTGCCTAACCTGATCGATCCCGTCTCGGATAGCGTTGCACACGTCGAGGGCCTTCACGCTCCGCTCGAAGAAATCCGAAACGGATCGATCGAGAGGGGGTCTCAACAGGGAACTGTTCCTCAGCAAGACCGATCGAAATTCTTCTTGGATCAGTAGGAAAGAGCCGAGGAGCTTGCTGATCCACGAGAGCGAGAGGAGTTCGCCGGAGTCGGAGGCGGCGGCGAGGAGGTCTGCCACGTGGCGCTGGAAGGAGTCAAGATCGCCGCTTTCTTGATCGCCGTCGCTGTGGTTGTTCATGGCGTGTACCTGATCACGGCGGACGATGAGAAGAGATCGCCCGATGGAGGACAACGGCGAGGATTGG